CTTAAGTTTCGTCGGAACGAAGTTACGGAAAATTAATTAACAAACGGAGACGTAACACCGGCTTTAAATACTCAACACCAATACATCAAGAAAGTCAGGTTTTCACACGACTACACCTTGCATACATGATCTTCGCCTACGATCTGAGCACAATGGCGGGGCAGCCTCTGGCCATTATCTGATTCGCCAACAGGAAATACAAACATTTATCTCAAAACGTCACACGGTATCTCTCCTGTGAGAAAAAAATGGCTAATTATCATTTAGTGGATCCGTATCTCGCGTGCACTAGTGTCAGGAAACTAGAATTGTTTATTCGAGTGACCCTCACGTCCAAACTGAACTCCAAGAAAATACAGACATTTTGAAAAACAAAACATATTAACTAAAGGGGAGCAAACCCATGTTACAGTTCTGTACCACACACCTTGAATGACGTACTCTGTAAGAGGTTGATTGTAACTGATTCGTCCGGCTCAGACCAGTAAAGAATGAAAAAAATTAAATTAGTACTAATCACATTGTGATTTAATATCACCAACACGTATAACTATTAAATGTAACTCAGACTAATACTCCACCAGCAAAGGCGTTCTTTTGTTTGTGTCGGATATTCGCACATAGCTATACATCGGCTATTAGTGCTACCCGTCCCAAATTTTAACTGGTAGACTAGACGGGTTACTCTAACTGAATAGTGAGGTTTTACCGTCACTCTTATAAAACACCCGTGACCACAAAATACGGTCTGATGAGCTATTTGTTAGTATACTTATGACTAAAATACATTCAAGTAACGTATTGGTTTCGATTATAAAAGCTATGCTTTAAAGCCATACTTTGAATTTTTTTCGTTATTCATGCTAAGTAAACTAAATCGGTTAGCTCAACGTTTAGCGGCTATAAACAAGTTCGTTCTCACCAAAATTTTACGAACCTTATTTGTTTAGCAGCTTGGACTAGTAGATTTAGTATATTTCTCTCATACGTATGTAATAAATTTATGTTTCTATGCACATCTTTATAACATTTTTCTTCGAGAGTGCACTAATAAAAATAGTAAAACAGTGGTTTACAATGAATGTTGAAATTATATTATAAACTATAGGAAGTTGGTAATATAACTGGTCTGATGAATGCAACGTAAAATTACATTATCGTGACGTCATTGACAGCTAACGCCAACAACGCCTTCTAAATTATTTTAATTTTCAATTGAGAAACACTACCAAAGAAATGTTTCTGTTTAAATATGCACTTATTACTTATTATAATTGAAAAAAATGTTTCTACTTGCTTGTTTTATCAGCTCAAAGCCACATTGGACTACCTGTGCTCTGTCTTTTGCGGGTGAAGGAACACCTGATTTTTAGGTTGTAAATCCCTAAACCTATCGTTGATTCATCAGGGGACTCTAAGAAAGGGAGTTTTAAATGCAATAAAAATATTTTGATTTTATTAAAATACTCCTGAATGGCAATTGAATTAAAAATGTTTAAAACCTAGATTAACACAGAGAGAACTGAAGATGATCTGAAGCATTGACTTCAGAATATCAGAATGTATATATATATATATTAGAGAAAATGTCTCTATCTGTGTGAATCTATTCCTTATGTACGGCCACATCTTTAAAGCCACAAATGGATTATGTGGCCGCGGCCTCAGAGGCCGTTTTGAGGCCAAAGTAACCAATATAGTAATTTCTGGCAAATAGGAGGACCAATTAGTCTGAAATCGAAATGGTCGGATTTTTTTGGTAATGTATGATCAAGAGGGCTATTATTTACGTTTCTTCTCTGTGCGAAGACTTCTTCTAATCATTCTATCCATGATCAATTATGTCTTAAAACGATTTAAAGATTTTGCGGAGCTTTCATTTGTGTTCTTTCTCTCCCTCTCTCTTTCTTCTACAAACATATATGCCTATTCTCTAACTTCCCCTCAAAAAGGCTCGTGCTTTCTTTCGAACATGCGCGCACACTCCCTCAACTAAGTAGGCTTGCTTCAGCCATATCTTTGTTTTGCTTGCGTGTACTCGCAAGAATCAGCTATACGACGACTTTACAAAAACGTTTGGTAACGGCTAATTTTCGTTTACACTGTGTTGCAACGAGAAGAGAATAAATCAATTCTTCATTAAATGGAACGATAATTAAGTCAGAATACATTGCAAACGACACACAGCAGAAATCAGGACACCAAAAGGTAGGGAATTTTGTTTTGGAAACTTGAATGTCATGTAAAACACATGCAAGAAGCAGGAGCAATGTACCCGGTTTGGCTTCGATTAAAATAACTTTAACAAATTTGTAATTTTTTTCGCACATTGTTATTTTTATTTATTTTAATCAAAATATTTAGTTAGGTAAAAAAATAATTTTGTTTTTTTTGTTTTGCAAAAAATCACGATTAATATGGTTAATTTAATCAAAATAACCCAGGATACTTAAAGTCATTTTCATCCGAGCAACGCAAGTACTCTGTTAGTTTTATATAAAAATAAAACCATATGATGAAGAGCTGTAAGTTAAACGGTTTGTTTGT